GTGAGCTACAGCAGCGTGGACAGCTGCGACTTGCGTACGTGGCCTACGAGGCCAACACTGCTGATGTCTTCACCAAGGCACTTGCGCCTTGTGATCATCAGCGTTGCTGCACGCAGTTGGGTCTTGTGCCTGTCTTGCCTCACTTGCTCTCCTCTTGACCTTGCTTGTACCTTCGCATATATATACTCTTGCTCTTGTATATCTCTATATATGATCTTGCATGTGAACTGGCCTTGTGGCCTTTGAAGTTGTGCTCGGAATGCGAGGTGACTTTGTGATCCACCCTGAGCTTTGCTTTGCTTTGCTTGACTGGTCTTGTGACCCCTTGTTCTCCCCCACTTTGCCTATGGGGGTGTGTCAGAACATATAGCTTACTTGTTTGTGTAGGCTATAGTGGGGTATCCCATAGGGGGTACAACACATTAGGGTTTCCTATTTGTATTCACTTCACTTCATAGTCATTCATTCTCGTTCTTTGTTTTCACATTTTCTCCCTCGGTTCCCACTGTTTGTACACATCCGCCACTAAAAACTCTGTTCTGTCAGGGGATGCAACCCGCGCAACACAAGCAGCACATGCAGCACACGCCACACACAAAATCGGCTTGGCAGGGAAGCCCGAAAGGAATAATACAACTCCTAGAAAACATGGACAATGTTCGGGAAAATCAACCTAAGCAAGGTAGTGGGACAAAAAATCTAGGGAACCTGGTTTCATTTTTTCGAAAGGGATCAACCCTAAACACGGGAACTGCCTCATGTTTAGGGTTGATTCCTCCCGAGTCGCATGGTTTCCAATTGGGGTTTATAATTTTTTGCCCGTTTTCGTCAGGTGCGCTGCGATATGTATTCACCTTGTTCGCAGTAATTTTCGTGCGACTGGTGTGGTTGGAGGACGAATTCGTGCGAGAGGTGCGCCAGTTACTGTCAGTCGTATTGTAGCATCCCGTGATAGAACAGTAATTTTCGTGGCGGAGGTGTAGATACACTAACAACAGAGGCAGAAAAATGACGGGATAGCATGCACTTGACCTGAAAAACGCGCCTCGACTAAGTTGCATGCACCTGAAAATGGCCGGAATTCGATGCTAACAGTGAGAAACAACACGTTAGAGATTGAGGTTCAGCGTTGCAGAAACAACCCTAATTGGTCTGGAAAGCGACACGCCCGATTGGGTTCCTAAAAGTTAGGCACGACGAGGCATTACGCCAGGGACACTCCTTAGGGTGTGTTGCAAGTAAGGGATCGATTGCCTCTGTGAACTGATCCTCAGTGTAACACTGTAGTGTACGGTTACCATACTACAGTATTGTTATGAGTAGTACGAAAGAAGAGTGCGCAGAATGCAATATCGCGGAAGTGATTACAACTACTGAGCAAACAACGAGGCCTAGGCATAATATAACAACGCTAGCTAGGCGGAGGTTGCGGAGTCGCAAGATGGTTGGGTGCAGGTTTGGTGTTGGGAAACCCGAAGGCAACGAGAGTGACGTTCGGAAGGCGAGGTCGTCGGGCCGAGCCTGAACTCTGAAAGTCGGAATTGTACGCGTACGGAGTGCCTCCGTAAGGAATTAGGAGAATTCCTTACACCCCCCCCCCCCCCTCTATAAGAAAGGTGGTCAATATCAGGCACGCGTCGGCGGGAAAGATAATCCTGTAGTACCAAATGGCCTTATAGTGAGTCAGCTGAGACCCACCTGTCATCTTCGCTTGTGCGATCCATCCAACGTAGAAAAAAAATTGACGTGGCGTTAAGCAGGGGCTGCACGGATGCGATTATTCAAAATCTTCCAGGGCTGCAGTATCAGGCCTGCCATAGGCCGAACACTTGGCGTGATGTTGGGGCGAGCGATGTCGGACGGCTATGGAGCCAAATAATGGCAGAGAAAGATGACGTGGAAAGCATCGTGGATTTTCCAGTCGTCTGGTAGAAGAAGTTTCGCGGTGACTGGGGTCAGCATCCGAATGATGCAAAAAGGTCCCACGTAGCGGGGACGCAGTTTAGCAGGTTGGGGCAGTCAAAGGTTTTTGTGTTCAGAAGGACCATCTGCCTGTCTCGGAAGGGTAAGTTCCGTCAATGTATGTCAGCATTGTGGTTGGCAACGGTGTTAGCCTTCCGAATAAATTCCGCTTCTTTTTCGCGAGCTGCTTGGAGTTCCGAAACAAATTGCTGCGACCGTGGTATCGGGTTGTCGGGAGTCGTTGAAGAGGGTCCACAGGGTCTATCCCGTAATTGAGGAAGAACGGCGACTGATTAGTCGTTGCAGACGGTGCGTTGTTGTACGGATGGGGAGTGAATCCTCCCACTTGGTGATGTCGGGGCAGCTTGTGCGGATCAACTGCTCCATGGTTTGGTTTGTCCTCTTTGTCTGTCTGTAGTGTACGGTTACCATATTACAGTATTGTTATGAGTAGTACGAAAGAAGAGTGCGCAAAATGCAATATCGCGGAAGTGATTACAACTACTGAGCAAACAACGAGGCCTAGGCATAATATAACAACGCTAGCTAGGCGGAGGTTGCGGAGTTGCAAGATGGTTGGGTGCAGGTTTGGTGTTGGGAAACCCGAAGGCAAGGAGAGTGACGTTCGGAAGGCGAGGTCGTCGGGCCGAGCCTGAACTCCGAAAGTCGGAATTGTACGCGTACGGAGTGCCTCCGTAAGGAATTAGGAGAATTCCTTACACCCCCCCCCCCCCTCTTTAAGAAAGGTGGTCAATATCAGGCACGCGTCGGCGGGAAAGATAATCCCGTAGTACCAAATGGCCTTATAGTGAGTCAGCTGAGACCCACCTGTCATCTTCGCTTGTGCGATCCATCCAACGTAGAAAAAAAATTGACGTGGCGTCAAGCAGGGGCTGCACGGATGCGATTATTCAAAATCTTCCAGGGCTGCAGTATCAGGCCTGCCATAGGCCGAACACTTGGCGTGATGTTGGGGCGAGCGATGTCGGACGGCTATGGAGCCAAATAATGGCAGAGAAAGATGGCGTGGAAAGCATCGTGGATTTTCCAGTCGTATGGTAGAAGAAGTTTCGCGGTGACTGGGGTCAGCATCCGAATGATGCAAAAAGGTCCCACGTAGCGGGGACGCAGTTTAGCAGGTTGGGGCAGTCAAAGGTTTTTGTGTTCAGAAGGACCATCTGCCTGTCTCGGAAGGGTAAGTTCCGTCAATGTATGTCAGCATTGTGGTTGGCAACGGTGTTAGCCTTCCGAATAAATTCCGCTTCTTTTTCGCGAGCTGCTTGGAGTTCCGAAACAAATTGCTGCGACCGTGGTATCGGGTTGTCGGGAGTCGTTGAAGAGGGTCCACAGGGTCTATCCCGTAATTGAGGAAGAACGGCGACTGATTAGTCGTTGCAGACGGTGCGTTGTTGTACGCATGGGGAGTGAATCCTCCCACTTGGTGATGTCGGGGCAGCTTGTGCGGATCAACTGCTCCATGGTTTGGTTTGTCCTCTCTGTCTGTCCATTGGTTTGCAGCTGGTATGACGACGAATACCGCAGGCGGGTTCCGTACTGTGCCCACGTTTTCTGCCAGAACTTTGACGTGAATTTCGGATCTCGATCGCCAATGATCGCCGAAGGTAACCCGTGTAGGTGTACGACGGTGGAGATGAAGAGCTTTGTTGTTTCTTCGGCTGTGATCATCGTGCGGCATGGTGCAAAATGCGCCATTTTTGTTAATCAGTCAATGACGACCAGCACCGAATCGTTGCCACACTTCATCCGAATTTGTCGCACCTCGTCCTTGATCGCGAGCGGTGTCCCGTCCACCAGTCGCGCGTCAATCTCGGGCAGACACCTGTCCAGCTGAACTCCAATTTTTTTGGCCGTTGCCAGGTCAACGAGACTGTGGCTCGCCCCACCGTCAACGAAAAGTTTTTTTTTTTATATAACCGTAAACCATCCCCACGACCAGGACAGTGTGATCCACGAGTTCATCCACTTTATTCGTCCGGTTGCGGTCGATAGCCCGAATCGGTACCACTACTCGGTGTGGATAGTGATTGCCGGGCAACGGGGTCTCGTTAGTAGGTGGCCCGACTACTACTCACTCGTCTCTTTTCCCGACCCCTCTCCGTCGGGCAGTCCTTCCAGTGGCCTGGTTGGTTGCAGTTGAAGCACATGTTTGGTCCACGTCTTGGCGCATCCACACTGTTGATTGTGGGCTGGCGAGGCGGTCCACAAAGTTGAGTGCCCTCCCGGGAACTCATTCTTGCACACTACATCTGCGCATCCCTTGATTCGGCCATCTGGATGGCATCGAGAAAGTTGGGTGGCCTCGTTTGTCGCACCTCGTACTGTACTTCGTATTTGAGGCCTGCAACATATCGATCGAGTCGTTCCGCGTCGCTCATGTTATCCACTTGGTCAGCCAAATTGCAGAACGTCGCCATGTAGTCTTGGACCAATGTCACCTGCTTCCAGGTACCCAGCTTCATGCGAGCAAAATACGAGGCGAATACATGCTCGAATCTGGCTCACAGCACGGCGCCCCACTCCGTCCATGCGCGTATCGTAGCCACTCCGAAGATTGTAGTTGCTCGTTGTGTGACAGATATCCAAGCCCCGTCGTTTGCACGTCATAGTCCTGCCAAAGTCCCCTCTATCTGAAGAGTCCACTTCCACCACTTCAACGCAGGTCCGCACAACAGTGAGACTGCAAAATTAATGCTAGTGACATCGTCAGCAATTTGCGCAACATTAAAGAAGACCTCCACGCCAAACAACCACGCAGACACAGTGACGGTTTTGTCGCTGGGGTTGAAATGGGCGGGTTTGACGGTTTTTTCTTGACGGTTTTTTCTTGACAGTTGTTGAGACTGTTGCTGCTGCATGCACCAAGGGCGCCACTGAAGCCATCGCCGGGGTTGTCGCTGGTGCCTTTCGTGGCACCGTTTGCGAATGTTGCCTTGGCGTTGCCTGCTCCTGTTGCTGTTGTCCTTGCGCTTCCCGTGTTTGTTGTTGTCGTGCCGCCCACTCCTCTTCAGCGTCCTGTGATGTATCCAGCTCGTTAAACATATTTACGTTGAGTGAGGAGCTGCTACTTTCTTCATCCACGACGAGCGACTCCTGGCCCGCTTCACTTTGCGCCTGGTGTAGTTTGGCGTTTTCCATCCTCAGGTGCTCCAACTCGAAAAACGGGGAGGGGGAAAAGCAGGGGCAGCATAGGCAAGGGCAGGGCAGCCGCGCGTGCAGGGCAACAGCGTGGAGCAGAGCGGGGGCAGCAACAGGCGGCAACGGGCAGCACACGCACGGGCAGCAACGGGCGGCGACGGGCAGCACACGCACGGGCAGCAACGGGTGGCAACGGGCAGCACAGGCACGGGCAGCAGGCAGCAACGGGCAGCACGGGCACGGGCAGCAATAGGCGGCAACGGGCAGCACAGGCACGGGCAGCAACGGGCGGCAACGGGCAGCACAGGCACGGGCAGCAACAGGCGGCAACGGGCAGCACAGGCACGGGCAGCAACGGGCGGCAACGGGCAGCACAGGCACGGGCAGCAACATGTGGCAACGGGCAGCACAGGCACGGGCAGCAACGGGCGGCAACGGGCAGCACACGCACGGGCAGCAACAGGCAGCAACGGGCAGCACAGGCACAGGCAGCAACGGGCGGCAACAGGCAGCACAGGCACGGGCAGCAACAGGCAGCACAGGCACGGGCAGCAACGGGCGGCAACGGGCAGCACAGGCACGGGCAGCAACAGGCGGCAACAGGCAGCACAGGCACGGGCAGCACACGCACAGGCAGCAACAAGCAGCAATGGGCAGCACAGGCACAGGCAGCAACGGGCGGCAATAGGCAGCACAGGCACGGGCAGCTGCTCCAGGGGCGGCGGTGGTGCATGGTAGAGGCGGTGGCCAGGGAGGAGGGTGCCGCGACGAGCAGGGACGGCGCCCAAGGGGCGCCGCGACGAGCAGGGACGGGGCCGAAGGGGCGCCGCGACGAGCAAGGGCGACGCCCCAGGGGCGCCGCGACGAGCAGGGGCGGCGTCCAGGGGGCGCCGCGACGAGCAGAGACGGCGCCCAAGGGGCGCCGCGACGAGTAAGGGCGACGCCCCAGGGGCGCCGCGACGAGCAGGGGCGGCGTCCAGGGGGCGCCGCAACGAGCAGTGGCGACGCCCCGCGGGTCCCGCAGGGGCGTAGCGACGAGCAGGGCAACGCCGCGCGGGTCCTGCAGGGGCGTCGCGACGAGCAGGAGCGGCGACGCCCGGGTCCCGCAGGTGCGTCGTGACGAGCACGATGTCAGAACTTATAGCTTACTTGTTTCTGTAGGCTATAGTGGGGTATCCCATAGGGGGTACAACCCAATTAGGGTTTCCTATTTGTACTCACTTCGTTCATAGTCATTCCACTTCTCGTTCGTACTTTCTCATGGAATCAGAGCAGGTCCCTTCCTAGGGCCTGTTCCTAGGGCCCACCGAAGCGCGCCCCGAGGCGCGCATTTTTTTTAGCGACCCTCCGAGTCGCCCCTCCCGTCGTGCTCCCGCTTAGGCCCCTCGTCGGCCCCGCGTACCCCTCGTCGGCCCCGCGTAGGCCCCACGTACCCCTCGTCGGCCCCGCGTACCCCTCGTCGGCCCCGCGTAGGCCCCGCGTACCCCTCGTCGGCCCCACGTAGGCCCCGCGTAGGCCCCGCGTACCCCTCGTCGGCCCCGCGTAGGCCCCGCGTACCCCTCGTCGACCCCGCGTACCCCTCGTCGGCCCCGCGTAGGCCCCGCCCAGGCCCCGTCTCGGCTCCGTGTCGGCCCCGCGTAGGCTCCGTCGGCCCCGCTTAGGCCCCTCTTCGGCCCCGCGCCGGCCCCACCTACGCCCTGTCGGCCCAGCGCTGGCCCCACTTAGGCCCGCCACCGGCCCCTGCTACAGCCCGCCGCGTCGGCCCCGCCTACAGCCCGCCGGCCCGCCTAGGCCCCACTTCGGCCCCTCGTCGGCCCCACTACAGCCCGCACCGGCCCCTGCTACAGCCCGCCACCGGCCCTGCTACAGCCGCCACCGGCCCCTACTACAGCCCGCCGCCGGCCCTGCTACAGCCCGCCACCGGCCCTGCTACAGCCGCCACCGGCCCCTGCTACAGCCCGCCACCGGCCCTGCTACAGCCCACCACCGGCCCTGCTACAGCCGCCACCGGCCCCTGCTACAGCCCGCCGCCGGCCCTGCTACAGCCCGCCGCCGGCCCTGCTACAGCCCGCCACCGGCCCTGCTACAGCCCACCACCGGCCCTGCTGCAGCCCGCCGTGCTGCACGTGAGCAGCCCCAGCAGCCCGCGCCGCCCGTGAGCCCCTACGCCACCCGAGCCGCGCGAGACGCCCGAGCCGCCCGAGCCGCCCGAGCCGCCCGAGCCGCCCGAGCCGCCTAAGCCACGCGAGCCACCTGAGGAGCCGTGCTGCTGTCCCTGAGCTGTGTTCCTCTGCTGCTGACCTACCCGACTCTTCCAGCCCGGTGAGACTTTCAGCTGCTGCCATGGCCACCCCCAAAGTTCTTACTTTTGACGCTGAGGGGAGGGCCATTGACTTTGCCGTCTGGATTGAAGACCTGCAGCTGTACTTACTGTGTGATGCGATAGATGAGGTCTCTCTCTTTGACTTTGTCTCTGGAGCTGTCCCTGCCCCGCCTGCTGATGCTGACTCTGCCGTTCGCTCCAAGTGGGCGACCCGCGATGCTGCTGCACGTCTTGCTGTGCGTCGCCACCTCCCTTCCTCTGAGCGTGCCCACTTTAGTCAGTGCAAGACCGCTCAGGCCTTGTACGACGCTGTAGTTGCACGCTACTCCTCCCCTTCCTCCGCTACCCTTAGCCGCCTCATGCTACCGTTTCTCTTCCCTGACCTCGCTTCCTTTCCCACTGTCGCTGACCTCGTTACCCACCTCCGCGCTAGTGACGCTCGCTACCGCGCTGCCCTTCCTGCTGAGTTCCGCGCCGCAAACCCTCCTCCCATGTATATCACTCTCTACTTTCTCGTCACCCGTCTTCCTGAGTCCCTTCGTGTCGTTAGGGACCAGTTTCTCTCTGTCTGTCCCACCACCCTCACTGTCGACCTCCTTGAGGAGTCCCTGCTAGCGGCTGAGAAGAGTATTGTCGCTGTAGGGGCCTCTAGGGGTGACCCTCGCACCCCCATCTTTGAGGGGTGTTCTCCTTCCCCCCTGCTGCCCTCTGTCGCCTCTGCTGCTACGGCCGACCTCGCTGGTTTTGAGTCGGTCGGTGCGGCGTCTGCCCCCAGCGGCAGACGCCGCTCTGGCAAGGGCAAGGGGGGCAAGGGAGCGGGTGGATCTAGAGGAGGCAGTGGCGGAGGAGGTGGGGGTGGCGGGGGGAGTGGGGGTGGCGGTGGAGGTGGTGGCGGGAGTGGAGGTACTAGTGGCGGCGGTGGAGGCGGAGGTGGCGGCGGAGGTGGTAGCGGAGGAGGCGGTGGGAGCGGTGGGAGCGACGGTCCTGGTGGGGGAGGTGGCGGTGGAGACGGGGGTGGCGGTGGAGGCGGGGGTGGTGGTGGAGGCGGGGGTCGGAGTGGCTCGTCCCAGCGGAGCAGCTCTGGGGGTGGTCAGCGCCAGCAGCAGCAGCAGCAGCAGCAGCAGCAGCAGCAGCCGCAGCAGCAGCAGCGCTCTCGCACCGTCCCCGGCCCTCAGCAGCTCCGTGAGTGGTACTTGCAGCGTCAGCGCGGTGGTGCTCTTGGTCCCTGCCCCTACGTTCTTCGCACCGGTGACCGTGCGGGGGAGAGGTGTGGAGGCGCCCACGCAGCCCGTCGCTGCTTTGGCCGCCTGACCGACGCCTGGCGTCAGCAGTTTCCGGAGGCCGCTGAGATCCCCCGCTGGGGAGAGCTGTCTAGGGCTGGAGTAGCTATTTATGATCTTGACTTTGATGCTATTCTCTCTGCTATGTATGCTGTGACTGGTAGTGATGAGGATGACTGTTACCGGTGTTTCCCGCCCGACCCGGGCATTGGTACTACCGCGTCAGGTACTAGTGAGGCTGCTGCTCTAGGTGCCAGTGCGTCTGTGCTCTCAGGTGCTGGTGAGTCTGCCCTCTCAGGTACTGTGTCGGCTTCGGCCTCTCACACCTTCACCCTTGACTCTGGAGCGTCTCGCTCCTTCTTTAGGGACCGCACCACTCTCACGCCGCTGAGTCGGCCGGTTGCAGTGTCCCTGGCTGACCCCTCTGGGGGGCCGGTCCTGGCTCGCTTCTCCACTGTCCTCCCGTGTCCGGCGGCCCCCTCTGGCACCCTGACTGGTCTCTACCTCCCCTCGTTCTCGACGAACTTGGTGAGTGGTGCTGACCTCCAGGATGCGGGTGTCCACCAGTTCACCCCTGCTCGTCAGCGGGTGACCCACTGCACGGAGGAGGATACAGGTCGCCACCTGGCTACGTTTACACGTCGGCCAGGGTCGAGCCTGTACACACTGACCACTGCTTCTCCTCCAGGTGCTGAGTCTGGTAGGGTCCCTTCGTCTGGTCAGGTGTTTGCTGCAGCGTCCAGGTCAGGTCCTGAGTCTGCCCCCTGCTCGTGTCGTCGTCTGTCTCACGAGACCCTCCTCTGGCACCACCGCCTTGGCCACCCCTCTCTGCTTCGGCTCAGAGGCATGGCCTCGCGAGTCCTTGTGTCTGGTCTTCCCCGGTCTCTCCCTCCCCTTCCTCCGGGCCCTGGCCCCACCTGTGTCCCCTGTGTCGAGGGGCGCCAACGTGCTGCCCCTCACTCCTCCCAGTTTCCTCCCACAGAGGCCCCGTTGCAGACGCTTCACATGGACGTGTGGGGCCCAGCCCGCGTCCGTGGACAGGGTCAGGAGCGCTACTTCCTGCTGGTGGTTGACGACTACTCGCGTTACACCACAGTCTTCCCCTTGCGCAGCAAGGGTGAGGTCACTGAGGTGCTGATCGACTGGATCCGCGCAGCTCGTCTCCAGCTTCGGAGGAGCTTTGGCTCTGACTTCCCTGTTTTGCGTCTGCACTCGGACAGAGGTGGAGAGTTCTCCTCCGGCCTCCTGAGTGCCTACTGTCGTGTGCGAGGCATCCGTCAGACCTTCACGCTTCCGGACTCACCGCAGCAAAATGGGATTGCTGAGCGCCGCATTGGCATGGTCATGGACGTCGCTCGTACGTCCATGATGCATGCGGCTGCTCCCCATTTTCTGTGGCCGTTTGCGGTCAGGTACGCTGCGCACCAGATCAACCTCCACCCCAGGGTCTCTCGACCGGAGACCTCCCCAGCCCTGCTGTGGACGGGGAAGGTTGGCGATGCGTCGGCGTTCCGGGTCTGGGGATCTCGGGCGTTTGTTCGCGACCTGTCTGCGGACAAGCTGTCCCCTCGTGCTTCTCCCTGCGTCTTCCTGGGGTTCCCCCCCGACGCCCCTGGGTGGCAGTTTTACCACCCCACCTCTCGACGTGTTCTGTCCTCCCAGGACGTCACGTTCGACGAGTCGGTACCCTACTACCGCCTCTTCCCCTACCGCACTCCGTCCCTCCCCCGACCCCCGCTCTTCTTGGTACCAGGTCCCCCCCCGGTAGTCCCCCTCCCCCCTCAGGGTCCTACCCCTTCAGGTGTGTCCCAGGTAGACGCGGTCGAGCCTGTCGAGGTCACTGGTGACTCTGGTGCTGCTGCGGGAGCTGAGCCTGGGGGTGCGGAGTCTGGGGGTGCTGAGCCTGGAGGTGCCGAGTCTGGGGGTGCTGAGCCTGGGGGTGCTGAGCCTGGAGGTGCTGTGCCTGGGGGTGCTGAGCCTGGAGGTGCCGAGTCTGGGGGTGCTGTGCCTGGGGGTGCTGGGCCTGGGGGTGCTGAGCCTGGGAGTGCCGTGCCTGGAGGTGCTGTGCCTGGGGGTGCTTCGTCTCGCCGGGAGCCACTCTCCCCACAGGAGCTGCGTGAGTGGTTTGCCGGGCGCTGGAGGCGTGCTGCTGGTGCTGGTGGTTCTTCGGCTGCAGAGGGCACTGCTGCTGCGCGCCCCGCCGGCGCTCGTACTGTGGGTGCTGGAGCTGCTGAGTCTGAGAGTTCTCCTGGAGCTGGTCCTGCTGAGGGTGTTGGCGCTGAGCCTGCCGTTGGCGGCCCGACTGACAGTGCTCCTGGTGCTGCGGCTGGAG